GTTTACGTTTACGTAAGTAATAGTTTCGTTAACGTAACCCCCGACCCCTACGTAAGTAACGTTACCGTTGTACGACTAGTAGAGTAGTAGTATACTAGTAGACGCGACGAGAGAGAGAGAGAGAGAGAGAGGTGAGAATCTACTTCCGGCTTGTATTTGTATCGAGAATTTTGGCTGTCCTCTTTCAACAAAGTTTATAAAGAAGAAAAAATATACAACGAGACAATTTACCTTTGGTATAAGATGGTCAAAATTAATCTTGACCGTTGGATGTGAAATTAGATGGCTGTAGTTTGTGATACACCCAAATTATTAGATTTTATGTCGGATGATTATAAAAAATTGAGATCCTCTAATACTAAAGGTTGATGGTCTCATTGTATACAATCCCTCTAAAAAATGATGCTAAGACGAGTACATTGGGAGGGGAGTTCTGGTCCATAAGACGAGGTTGAACATTTTGCCCTACTGCAAAAAATGTGAGGTAGGGAGATTTTGTCCTGTGAAATTTCCAATTCCTCTTAATCTCACTCTGGAGGATTTTTTTTGTTTAAATAGAAATGATTTGAGGGTTTATAAAAATGCTCTATCAAAATTCCCTCTCAAGGCTGAATTTGGACCACCCATTTTTTATGAACGTTAAAGGAAGATATGTGGATTTTGAGCACAATCATCCTTCTCTGAAATTGATCACAAGGCAGATCAATGATGCAAAAAAGTTTCAGGTTGACAGGGTCCCACCTTATGTGCCTGTTGTCCTAGCAGGACCACCGCATACGGGCCTTGCTTGAAGTCTATGGTGAGCTCAAGCATTTGTTCACTTGGTTAATTCCCTTGAACAGAACACCCGTTTGGGGTTTGCCTTAAGTTTCCAAAGCGTCTCTCATACCAATATTTCAAATGTAATAGTGTTTTTTTTTTTTATTTTATTAGGGCACGTTTAATACGCACAAAATACTTTTATGAAAGTATTTTCAATCGAAAAATCTCTCTCATATGACTAGGCATAAGAGTTATTTCACGCCAATCGGTCATAATGCATTTTTTGACACTAATTGATAGCTATTTGATATGAAAAAACTCCCGTACCAATTGACGCAAAGGAATTTTTTTTCACTTGAAAATACTTTTTACATAATTATTTTCAAGAGTACCAAAACATTCCCTTAAAAATCAACTATTTCCTATTGAACTATTGTCCGGCCCTTTTTCCCTAAGCACCGAGTTGGTGCATGCAACCAGGTGCACGGGGTGCATGCAGCTTGGCGTGTGCAGGTAAAAGGCAGGCCTGTGGCTAGGCAGGCAGCCCAATATGCACAAGGGTCAAGGCAGAGTGGGTGAGTGCAAGAGGCATGCTAAGCCTAGGCAACTTGTGTGTGTGATGAAGGCAACCTGGTGCAGGTGCCTTGTGCAAGTAAGACTGCTGAAGGTGCGATGGATGCATGGTGCAGGTCGACTTGGTGCAGTTCAACTTGGGTGGATCAGCCCAATGGGGCTGAGGCGGCGTATGGATCAAGCTTGGCGGGGTTGGGTATGCACTTGGGGCAGCTTGGTGGGGCTGCACGGCCTTGGTGTAAGGGTCGTGCTGCCTAAGACTAAGTTGTGCTAGTTGGGCTCTAGGTGCGGACACGCCTCAGGACCAGGGATTTTGATACTACTATAATTGAGGGGAGTGGGAGAGCCTTGGGTCATGGGTGGCTAGCAGTGGACAAGGCTCCGTCTAGGTGGGCAGACACCTGTGGAGGCTTGAAGTGGGCTCAACTAGGGGATTCAACCTGGTGAACATTGTCAAGTGGACCATGGGCCTAGGTGAGCCGTGTACCTGTGGCTGGGCAGGTATGTGTGTGAGAGATGGTGCGCACAAGCAAAGGGCTCGACGTGGTGACTAGGTTAGGTGGACCTTGCACAAGGACAAGCCGTGCACCTGTGGCTGGGCAGGTGCGTCTGCCCTTGCAGAAGGTAGGCTGCGGGTTGAGTGGGTGCCTGAGTGGGAAGGCGCCCCATTCAAATTCAAACGCCACGCCCCCTTTGGTGGGTGATGTGGCATGACATCCATGATCGGAGGCCGAAGACCAGGGCGTAAGACTCGGACTTGCCCCGACATGGCAGAGACCACAAGGCCAGGATAGCGTGAGGGCCAGACTTAGTGAGACTTGGTCAGGTGGGTCAGGTATGTGTGAGCCGGGTGTGACGACTCAACGAGCGCTCAGATGGCCATGCCGACTTGACGGTGGAGCACGCGGATGGGGTGTGAGTTGCAGGACGTTGCGGGGCATGAGTTGTGGAATGTTGCAGCACGTGGACGGGGCGTTGCGTGAGACATGGGATGATCACGCAGACGGGGTGTGACGAGCTGGCACGTGAGGCCATAACCAATTGTGAGGTGGATGGCAAGTGGGCAGCCAGCTGCCCATCGTGTGGTAGATGGGCTCCACGTGTTGGAGTATCAAATGAATAGTGAGGCTATAAAACCCCCTTGCCAAAGAGGAACCATGGCTTGTACACATTTTAAACTGTTTAGTGAAATTGGGCTGAGGCCCTTTGCTATTTTTGTGTATGTGCTTTGTGATTAGTTTTCTTCTAACCCCCACCTTCTAGATTGTGTGATCGTGTGTGAAGGCTGATCTAGCCTTGGATCGAGTGAGGATCAGGGCCAGATGACGGATGTGTGGAATGCAAAAAAAGTGACCCGTGACAGCTGGTATCAGAGCAAGCCTTGCGCATGGATGGTGGGATGGACGACCTGCGTGAGTGTGCGGGAACTCTAGATATGAGATTGGAGGAACTTACCCAAGGAGGCCAAGATGGAGGGTTGGGTGTAAACCTTGCCCGTCTTGGAGGACTGGTTTGGTGTGGTGGAGGAGTGATGCGGAGTCTGTGATGCTCATATGGGAGAGCTCATAGACGATGTCAAGGCCTTCACAGAGTCTTTCACCTCATGGCTCGAGTCCATGCAAGATGATTTGTTGTTGATCAAGAGCGCCCTTGGGAGAACTAGCGGAGGGCTGGGATCTCGTAATGTGAGAGTATCAGAGCCTCGAGTGTTAGAAGGCCAGCACGACTCGAAGGTGGTCGAGAACTTCTTATGAGACATGGAGCAGTATTTTGAAGCTTCTCATGCCTATGAAAAAGATCGTGTGGCGGTCTGCGCCATGTACCTCGCTGGTAGAGGATGCGGGTGGCTGATGCTTCAAGGCCCAAGGTGAGCTCTTGGGAAGATGCAGTTCTTGCAGGGCAATGTTGCCTGGGTGGCCTGCAAGGCTTTGCAAAAGCTTCGACAGTCGGCCTCGGTGTGTGAATACGTGAACGAGTTTGAGGAATACCAGCTATTTAACTTTGTGTCTGAGCAGCAGAGTTAGGCCCAGGCCTAGTTAAGGAGGCAAGACATGAGGGACTTGCCCACAGCCATGGCGGCAGTTGAGGACCTAGTTGATTTGAACTTTCATGGGGCGGTGGAGTCAAAACCACGAAGGAGGGCCATTGAGGGAGAATGGCGAGAAGGTGGTACGCGATAGGTGGACCATACCCGAGAAGGGGGTCGCTCAAGAGGAGGAGGCACTCCAAAAGGGCTTCTCAAGCTGCTTCAGATGCAGAGGCGACCATCAAGTGAGGGATTACCCACAAAAGTAGGCCTTCAACGCGGTGAACCTCATACATGAGGACGAGTGAACCCAAGTGAAGTTGGGTTCATTGAACTTAATGAATGCCATGCAGCTCAGTTCGACCAACCCACAAGCTAGGGAGGAGACCAAGTTGTGCATAGACTCAGAGGAGTCCAGTGATAACTCAAGTGGAGCCATCAGGAGAGCCCTAGCGGTGGTGAAGGTGGGTCAGATGGAAGCATCATTTGACTCATCTATTCGATGGGAGATACCCTCTGACTCATCGGAGGGTACGACATCATCGGCTAGTAGAAGGTGTGATCAACCTTGCCCTAATGGTGCCATAAAGAGGAAGTTCGGCGTCATGTATGAATATCGTAGACATTAGACGACCTGCGAGCAGGCTGTAGAGAAGTCCTGAAGTTACAGGAGGCGACATGGGTCGTGGTGGCAGCCTCGGAACTGGTCACAAACCTTTGCATTTGGTGGCAGCGAAGGACCTGACCTGGTGCATAAACAAGAACTTGGTGGCAGCAGTGGACCTGGCCAAGAGGGCTGACTACTTGGTGGCAGCAGTGGATCTGGCTAAGTAGGCAAGCCGAAGACTTAGTGATAGCAGTAGACCTTGTCGAGCCATGGCTTGGTGGAGTGTCTTGAGGCGTTGCCTTGAACCGGCGTTTTATGGGGACCCAGTGAGAGGCAGGCGTCTTAAGGACGAATTCAGCTTGGTAGCAGCAGACGGTACTGGCCAAGTGAACGAGTAGGGCTTGGAGGCAAGTGAACCTATTAAAGTGGGCTAAGTGGAGGCCATATTCTGAGTTAGATTTATGGGGACCTAGCGAAGGGTGAAGCGTCCGACGAGGACGTCGAAGTTTAGTTGGGGGAGGCTTGTCAGGCCCCTTTTCCATAAGCACCGAGCTGGTGCATGCAGCCAGGTGCACAGGGTGCGTGCAGCTTGGCGTTTGCAGGTAAAAGGCAGGCCGGCCTGCGGCTAGGCAGGCAGCCTTGTGTGCACAAGGGTGTGAGGCAAAGTGGCTGAGTGCAAGAGGCATGCCAAGCCCAGGCAACCTGTATGTGTGATGAAGGCAGCGTGGTACAGGTGCCTTGTGTAAGTAAGACTGCTGAAGGTGTGATGGATTCATGGTGCAGGCACGTGGGGCAGCTTGGTGGTGCTGCATGGCCTTGGTCTAAGGTTTGTGCTGCCTAAGACTAAGTTGTGCTAGTTGGGCTCTAGGTGCGGACACGCCTCAGGACCAGGTATGTGGGAATCGGATGGGACGACTCTGGCAGGTCGTGACGACCCAACAAGTGCTCAGATGGCCAGGCCGACTTGACGGTGGAGCATGCGGACGGGGCGTGAGTTGCAGAGGTGTGAGTTGCGGGATGTTGCAGCACGTGGATGGGGCATAAGACGCGGGATGATCACACGGAAGGGGCGTGAAGAGCTGGCATGTGAGATGGGCGTGAGACACGGGGCCGGCACATTAGGCGGTTGTGTCGAGCTGGCACGCTAGGCGCGCAGGATAGGGCGCAAGACTAAGTCTCAAGCTAGACGCGGCCGAGGCTGAGGCTGAGCCAACAGCCCATGGCGTGGTGCATGAGCTCCACGTGTAGTTTCAAATGTATAGTGGGGCTGTAAAACCCCTTGCCCGGCCTCGGTGAAAGAGGAACCGTGGCTTGTACACATCTAGACTGTTTAGTGAAATTGGGCTAAGGCCCCTTTGCTATCTTTGCGTGTGTGCTTTGTGGTTTGTTTTCCTCTAACCCCCACATCTAAATTGTCTGATCGTGTATGAAAGTTGGTTTAGCCTTGGATCGAGTGAGGATCGGGGCTAGACACCTCACGGGTGGAACGCGAAGAAAGTGACCTCGTGACAACTACCATCACTGTAGGAGCTGGCATTTATTTGGATCTTTTTGAAGGATATAAAAATTATATTGCTTAATAGTTTGTTTTGCTTTAGATTAGTAAAGGTGATTAGAAACATTGGGGTCGAAATTATTCATTCATATCAGTGTTCGCAAAATCGAATTGAAATGGTTAACCGGACATGGCTCCGAAGCAGTTTAATTAACCTAACCGGTAAACCGATCGATTCAATCGTTCTAACCGGACAAGTCCTGAGCAGTGAAAAAAAGTGTTGAAAAAAACAAAAAAGATACAAAAAAATAAAATAAAGTAAAATATGAAAAGCATATAAAGAATGATTAAAACAAAACACATTCAAATAAAGTTGTAAATTAATGAAAAAAAAAGATTTTAATGAATCAATTTGTACTTAGGGTATTTTTAAAATTTTCTAAAAATGATGGAAAAATATAAAAGTGAGCATTAATGATCAAAACAATTTTTAATCTTTGCCATAATATAAAGAATATTAAAAAATACATTACAAACCAAATTTTTTATTTTTCTTTTGTAAATACGGTCTATCACTAAAACCGCTCAAAACTTAAACCGGCCAATCCGATTCCAATCTAACCGAACGGTTAGCGGTTAGATCGTCCGGTTTTTCTAACAGTGATTCATATAGAGAAGCAAATCCGGTAAGTTAATATGTTTGACTACATAAGAGCTTAGTATAGGTGATTAGAATCACTGGGGTCCATTATTCATTCATATAGAGAAGCAAATCAGGTAAGTAAATATGTATGGCTAAATAAGCTGGTTCCAGTTATATGTTGATTGTATATATTACATTAAAAAATAAATTAGAAAAAAAAGAAAAGAAAAAAAACCAGACGTTAGTGCTTTGCTTGTAAGTGCAACTTTACAGTTTGCTCGTGCAATAGGCATATTTTCTTCTACTAGAAAAATGCAGAAAGAGCATTAATTCCGACATCGACATTAGGGAGCAAGCATTTGGCCACTCACCTTCTCAATAATCCACCCAACATGGTGATCGAACCGATTGACTGGTATTGCCACCCATGTTATGGATGAAGAAATCCAAAAATTGAATAATTTGTCTAAATGGTGAATATGTACAAATATGCTCCCCGAAAAATATCCCTATCCCAGACTTCCAGTTTCTTTTCTGAAAGCATCATTTTGTTTCACAACAAATCCCGTGAGAAAATGACTCAGATTTTCCATCAGACAAGGGAAAAAAGGAGAAGCAAAAGTGAGACTTTCCTTGTAGCATTGTATTCCCCTGTAATGCAAAAACGTTGCAACCATTTTTCCCACTCATGCATAGAGGGAAAAGAAGAAATAGATAATTTACACCCAAGTTCTTGCTATGGTACATATACGCCCAAAGTGGCCTCAAATAATCGAAATAAAAAACTGGCAAGTAAAAACTTCCGCCACTCCATAATTTGGCAAAAAACCCACCAAAAAGTTGTCTGGCTTCATTATCATCCAATTTCCAGCTATAGCCCAGTTACATGCCATCCATTTTCCAGTTAACACACTTAACCATGTCATTTGATCGTTAGCCAGCCTCACTATTCATCATCCAATTTCCAGCCAGCCTTGTTAAACTATATCATCAATGTTCCCGGCTGCCTCACTGAATATATCATTCAATTTCTGGCCAGTCTTGCTAAATATCATCTGATTTTTGGCCATCCGCTTCAACTTATCACTGAGACTGGGCCGCACACACGAGATATCAAATTCATGGAAACTCACTCAAACCCGGGATTATCGAGCCAAGACAAGTCCTCGAGGGCCTCGAAGAACACAGTGTCATAAAACTGAGGTGCATGGTCATCCCAATTTTCGATGAGTGGATGAAGATCCTCAATACCGGAGTCGGGCCAATGAATCAAATTCCCAGGGGAGAATAAGGATGGAACTTCTGGTGATGGTTCAGGTGGGTGATGGATTTCTAGAGCAAGAGTAGATTGTGTGTCCTCATTGAGGTTCGTGGTCTTGGCTAGCTTTGATTTTGGGGTCTTGTGAGGATCAGTTGAGAGCTTGTGTTTACCTAGTGTGGAAGACTTTGAGGATCGGTGCTTTACAAATTCTGAAATGGGGAATGCGGATGATGCCCAGCTGTAGCCCTCACCTTCAAAGCAAGAGTTTGATGCTAACCTACAAGAGGAAATAGAATCAAATGAGCTGACGTTGACTTAAAATGGGTTCACCTTGATTCTATCTAAGAAACAAAAGGATGTGAGTTGCTTGCTTCTCTGGTTTTGGAGAGTTTTTGCTGAATTGAGAGAGAGAGAGAGAGAGAGAGAGAGATGCACATGCCATTTCCAATTGTAGATGCAAATAGTAAAAGGAAAGGGCAGGTTCACGACCGAGAACTAATAAAACTACATTTTTAACTACTATCTAGTTACATATGCATGTGCACGTGCAACTCTATGCATTCACACGCTTGCACATACAGAATTCGCAACAATAACTTGCCCAGAGGTGAAATACTTGATATCTTAGAACCTGAATGAAAATTCCAAAGTCCACTACTGCAAATCATTTCCAGGTCACAATAATATTTCCTTTTTATCGGTTGCTGCAGACATGCTTTAAAGAAAATGGTATGGCAACAATACAGCATAAAGAACCGGTAGTTTAGGTTAAAACAGACATCTATAGTAAAAAAGATTGGTTTCGGAGTCGTTATGCACCAGATCTTGTTCCCAAAATGCCCCTACTTAAGTGCCTTAATTTCATAAGAAAATTCTTTTATGTGGAATTCTGAATTTGTTACACCCTCATCTAAAGGGAGTTCTCTTAGAAAGTGCTCCTTGATCGCTACATTAATTACAAATTAGATGTGTAATTTTTTTTTGCATGAAGTTGACGGTATCGATTAAACTTGTAAAATATACAGTACAATTTTCTGCTGTGAATGTGAGGAAAGAATACATAAAAATTTCTATACACAACAAAAATCCAAAACTAAGGGGAGTTTTGATGAGGTTTTTTTTTTGATAATGTTAACCGATGTGTTGCTTATAAGGAATGTGCAAAAAGCCGGCCACCCACAAAACGGGTGCTCAGTGGAAAAAACCCTTACAGGAGCAAAACTATGCAAGCATTACACCCTGACCATTAGGTCACAAAGATAAAAAAGAAACAATCAAATTGAGTAGAGGACTTAAGAGAGTGGTCAAGGGGTCCCCAAAGGGAAGGATCCTTGGGCATCCTCTTTAGCGAGGGAGTCCGTGATGGAGTTAGCCTCTCTCCAAGTATGTCTCCAGATAGTTTGAAGGTCCGTGCTACAATAAAAAATCTCATTGGAAATATAATTGAGTCTCCAAGGGCACGGCGCAGATCAAGAAGCCCAAGCAATGACATTTGCGGGGACTCCTTCGATGATCAAAGAGTTACCCCAGTCTCTATTGAAATATCCAAGGCCAAAAAGTAGGGCCATTGCCTCTGCCAGGTTTGAGTCAGTGCAGCCTATAAAGGGCGAAAAGGAGAATAGGGTGCGGCCAGAACTGTAACGGAGAATCCCCCCGATGCCTGAAGGACAGGGCTTGCTCAGGGAACATCCATCAAAGTTTAACTTGATTTGACTAATGGTGGGGGTGGGGGGGGGGGGGGACCACAGAGAGGCCTGAGGGATTTGGGAAGGCTTAAGGAAGAGTAAGGCCTGTCAATTTCGGTGGAAATCTGCGAGAGAAAGGTGTTTGAAAGCTTTGTGGTTGGTCGCCCAAAAGATGACCAGCGAGCGCACCTTTTCCAGAAGGGTTTCGGCATGTGAATACTCTCCCCTAAAGGTTCTTTGGTTCCTTTCCAGCCAGAAGATCTAAAGAATTGCAACAACTGTGGCTCTTCATAAGAGAATAACATATAGGAGGAGAACAGATGGGGAATAGACTATGGGGTGGCCCAATACCACCCAAGGAGCCTAAGGATGGAGCCCCACATAGTTGGAAAGCCAGCTCGCAATGCAAGAAAAGGTGAGCGTTGGTTTTGCCATTGTTACGCCACGTTATGCAACAGTTGGGGATTTGCAGTCCCCTTCTTTGTAGTTGGCCTACTGTTAAGACACTTTTGTGGGTTGTGACCCATTTGAAGAACTGAATTCTCGGGGGAACCACAATGACCCATACTTTGCCTGCTGGAAAAGGGTGGGTAGAAGCAACCTGGGAAGGCCTGGGAGGGGCATCGAAGGAGGCAGTGTTTCAAAAACGCTAGGCGGACCTAGGCGGTTGGGGGCATCCAGGCCGCACAGCACCTAGGTGGGCACCCAGGAGGGCACCCAGAACCTGGGCGGCCCAATAGAATTTTTTTTTTTTGGGTTTTTCTCTCTCTAAAATAGGCTCTAATGTGTTTTAGGTTTCAAATGAACCTAAAATCCACAATTTTGCACCTTTAGTATTAAAAAAAACCCAAAAATACCCTCAACGAGGGGCATTTCCACCCCTGATCGGGGCATAGGCCCTAGGAGGCCACCTGGGCGGGCGCCCAGGGATATCCGCTTAATTTTGCCGCCTAGGTGGCCGTCCAGGCGCTAGGCGATCTGCTTTTTAAAGCACGGGAAGGAGGAGACTGAGAACACACCTGAAAGGGAGGGGGTCCAGAGTATCTTATCCAAGCCCAAAGGAGGGAGATAGAAGGAATGTAGAAGGGCCTGCAGCTCGAGAGAGGTGGGCAATTCAGAGTCGTTAGGGGGGATTCTGAAAAGTGGGACCAAACCCTCCCAAGGGCTGAGCCCAAAGGAGGGCTTAGGGTTCAAAGTTCTCAGCAATTAAGGAGTGGGGGTTACGAGCCAAGTGGAAGAGGGAGGGGAAAGACTCTCTAAGGGGAGTATGTCCAATCCAAGTGTTCGACCAGAATGCAATTCTGTCCCCGGCTCTCGATCGGAAGAGAAAATGGGCCAAAAAGCGATTGAGGCACGATAAGAATCCCTTCAAAAGGCTAGAGGCATTGTTAGGGACCCTACTACTTGGAAGCCAAGCATTTGGGGGACACCGATATTTCTGTCGAACCACCTCTTGCCAAAGATGGTCCCTTTAGACTGCGAATCTCCACCACCATTTGCCTATGAGGACAACATTAGTATCTTGCAGTTTGCAGATGCCCTAGCCCTCTGAGACTTTGGGGAGCAAACTTTATCCCAAGTTATAAGATGGTATTTCCTTCCTTCTGTACTGGACTAGAGAAAACTTCTCATAAGTTATTCAAGGCAATTAGCCTCCGAGGCCGGGGTCAGGAAGATGGACATTTGATAGATAGGGATTCTTGAAAGGGTTACCTTGATGCATGTAAGTCCTTCCTGCAGCGGAGAGAAATTTACCTTTCAACGCTGCGAATCGCCTATTGAACTTGTTGATAATGTGTGACCATTGTCTAGCTTTAGGTTTTCCAATGCTCAGAAGTAGTCCTAAATAGGAAAAAGGTAAGGGTTGTGCTTTACAGCCCCAAAGGTTGGCCAAATGGAGAACAAATTCAAGGCTCATGGCTACCTCCATCATAGTAGTTTTCGTGAGATTGACTTTGAAGCCCGTGGCACATTGAAAGAATCTAAGGAAGAGAGGCGTATCGTCGGCATATTGAAGGTGGGAAATGGTGGCCCCTCTAGTACTAGCCTGAAGGCCCCTTAAAGGTTGTCGCGATACTATCTCAAAATAGAGGAACTGAAAACCTCGGCTACAATTGAAAAGAGAATGGGCGAGAGAGGATCCCCTTGTCAGAGGCCCCTTGAGGCTTGGAAGAATCCCTTAGGGGAGCCATTAATGATGACAAAGAAGGAAGGTGAAGAAAAGCACCCCTACGCCATTGGGAGCCAAACCCCATTCTTAGTAAAGTCTCCTCAAGTATATCCCAATCGGCATGATCATATGCCTTTTCCCAATCTAGCTTTATGACCAGTCCTGGTAATTTGGCCAAATGCTGAGCATGAATGCCCTCCTGTGCAATAAGGGCACCATCGAGGATTTGTTGATCCTTGACCAAGGCTCCTTGAGAGGGAGAGATGACCCATGCAAGGACCTCTTTTGAGGCTAACACCTTGGACAGGATCTTATAGAAACTATTGACATTGGGAATTAGGCGAGGAAGGTCGCAATCATCGCCTTGTTCACTATGTCACTGTTGTGGAAATCAGCGAAGAAGGCCACTAGGTCGGGCTTAAGGAAGTCCCAAAACTGTTTGAAAAGAGCTATCAGAAAGCCATCCACGCCTAGGATTCTGTCTTGTCCCATGGACTTAACAGTGTCAAGGATTTCCTTTTCATCAAAGGGTGCTCAAACCATACGGCTTTCTTAGGGAATAGAGTTCTGAAGGATAGGGTGGACAAAATCCGCCTTGGGCCACTTTGTGCCTTGAAGAGTTTCTTGAAAAAATCGATTATGGCATGTTTGATGAGCCCCTTGTCCTTGATATATTGGTTGCCAACTCTGATGAGAAAGATAGTGTTGTCGCATCTTCGACAATTAGCTATTTTGTGGAAGGTGCTGTTAAGGTCGCCAAGTTTTAACCGCTTGACACTAGACTGCTGCGCCTAGTAGATCTCCTTGCGAAGCATAACTTGGATCGAGTGTTTAGCTTCAAGGCGCTGATTCCTTTTGGCAGTGGATAGAAGTCTGGATTCCTCGAGGGTGTCGAAGGAGACGATTGCCCCAACTAAAGGTTGTTTGTGCTCCCAAAAGTTTCTAGGGAGATTGCGACACCATTTCTTGAGGGCAGAAATCGATAATTGAAGTTTGTGTTGCAGCCGAAAACCCAGCCACCCTTGGACGAGTGGGGCAAAAGATTGCCACCAAGAGGAGATGAGCGTGGGGAGGTTGGACTCCTCCAACCAGGACAATTCAAACCAAAAACACTTTGTACCTTGGTCGATGGCATTTGTGTTAAGCAAAACCGTGATCGGAAGTCAGCTTGGGGAGGGCCGACGAGTGAGAGTTGGGGAAGGCGAAGTCCCAATCTAGAGAGAAGACACATCTGTCCAGTTTGGATAGAGTAGGGTCATCAGAGTGGTCCGACCAGGTGAAAAGGGTCCCTTGGAGAGGGACATCCTGTAGTTGATTCCGAGCTATGAAGTCTGAAAAGGCGGACATTGAAGGAGAGATTCTAGGATTGGAATTTCGTTCCAAGGACCACCCAAGTCATATTGAAATCACCTCCAATGTACC